TCTAAGTCCATATAAGGACTTGTGAAGTCTGCAAACCAAATTCTGTCCTAGAAGTTTTATGAAACCTTGAGGCAAAGACTATAATTTCTTCGATAAATCACCTTGTAAGAATGCATTATCAACATCAGGTGATACAAGGCCATCATGAATTGAAGCTAAAGAAAGAATGGTCCTGACAGTCACCATTTTAAACACAGAGAAAATGTTTCCTCATAATCAATTCCAACTTTGTGTGTTACCTTTGGCCACCAACCGGCTTTATACCTCTCCAAAGTGCCATAAGCATTAACACTTTAATTTATATACCCATTTACACCGATTGGACTTTTACTAAGGGCAATGAAACCAATGACCAGTAGATTGTCCTTTAAAGCTTTGATTTCCTTTGACTAGCTTCTAACCGTTAGGATCTTTGGAGGCTTGGAAAAATTAACTGTTAGTTAAGGAGGAAATTTTACTAAGGCAGGCTTGGTAAGTGGTGAAAGGTGTCTGTAATTTATGGAATTTGAAATTGGATATTTGACTAAGTGAGTTTGTGTTGAGAGGGAAGTGTAGAATAGTGGTATCTGTAGTCTAATGGAGTTTGGTAATTCTTGTGGATTTCCTTAAAGGTATAGAGAGGTTTGAGTTGAACCACTGCAGAGGTTGTATTTGTGATAGGGAATCTGTTGTTGGAGCTATTCGAGACAGGGGGAATTAGAGACACAACTGGATCTGATGTGTGACCTGAAAATCATCTACATGTATGCAAGGTTGTGAAATATTGTATTGGAAGAATCTATTTCTAAAAAGGAATCAGATGGAAAAACTGATAATTTGTTTTGGACAAGCTGAAACGAAAAATGTGTTTCATAAAGGTCACATTCTGGGTGGTATGACATGTATGAGTGTCTAAGTTGTACAGCAAATATCCCTTTTTATCTAAAAATATCCTACAAAAAACACTGGAATGGACCTAGGGGTAAATTTATCTTTGGGAGTAAGATTGTAGAGTAACTAAGCACCAAAGACTCTCAAATGTGCCAAGAGGAGGTTTGCCAATAATTTTTCAAAAGAGAGATCCTTTTAGGACTAATGGTTGGAACCTATTAATTAAATAGACGTTGTTTGAAAACAGTAGCCCCAAAGTGTGTGTGGCAGTTTAAGTGAAACTTTAAGGCTCTAGCAATTGTAAAATGTTCGTGTTTTCTCTCCACAATACCATTTTGTTGATGAGTAAACCATGAACTTTGGTGCTGAATACCTAGCTCTTGCTAACAAATCATGCATTTTCTATTAAAAACTCTAAGATTATCAAAACGAATGCATTTAGGTGTTACTGAAACTGATTTTGTACCATGATTAGGAAATTTTTAAGCAACTGAAAAACATCAGATTTAAATTGCATTAAGAAAATCATGTCACTCTAGTGCAATCATCCAAATTGTAAGAAAAATCTTAGCATTTCCAAAAGTAGGTACCTTATAGGGGCCCATACATCCATATGCAAAAGATCAAAAGCTAATTTTGAAATACTTTGCTTAAGGAAAGGTGTTCTGTTTTGTTTTGCCAAATGACAGATTTGACAATGAAGAATTGTCATTGCAAATTATTAACCATTGTTTTAGAATAGGATTTGGGACTCCCCAATCTTTTATATGCAAACATTGAAATAAGAATTGCCCTAGAACTAGAATTGAAACTTTGTTTATTACTATTGCAAACACTAATGTAGAAAGCATTTGGCCAGGGTTTTGATGTCAGGTTGTGGATGATGATTGTGTGAGGGCACTAAAATATAACCTTGAAATTTTTTTACCAATCCCCTTCAACTTGCCACTCTGAGGTTCTGGATTAACAAAACAGGTAAAAGGTAATTGCACAATTATTGGATGAAGTGTATTTAAACAAGAACAAATTATATTTGAGTCCGCAAATGCAATACATGATCTAGACTAATCATATCATTTATCCTAACGATCCAATGTGCTTAATTTTGTTTTGGTTCCGTTTGGTAGGCCCACTTAAGTTTTTGGTGAGAAGTTTATGTCTATGTGCATTTAAGCTAGACAATCTACTAGTCATATGATCTGTTGCCCTTAAATCTATAATCCAACTTGTAGTGTTATTAAAACAGATAAAAGTGATGTAGCTATACCTAGCCACATTAGCTTGATGCTGAGATATTCTCCTTCCAAAAAGTTGAAGTGTTGGGTAGTATTGTTTAGCCGAAAGAATTATCCCTAATGAATTTGAACCTTTTGGTGTATTCACAAATGTTAGAGGTTGTATCAGCTATGTATTTGCTTGATTAGTTGTGCCCATGTTCTTTGATTCATTCTTCCTTTTAATCAGTTGGATAACCATGAATTTATAACATGTATCCTTTTGTGCCCTGGTAGATGACAAAACTACACTCTATATAAGGTTTTTTCCCTTTATATTTGGGATTGAGGTTTTGCTTTTCTGTGTGTTTTGTGCATATAAAGCAGTGGTTGCTCTAGGCCACTATTATTTCTCGACAGTATTCTCTAACTTTCATCTTATTGACAACATAATATGCTTGTTTTACAGAGGGAGGTGACATCAATAGGATTTGCCTTTGAACCATAAAATAAGTGTCATTTAATCCCATTAGAAATTTAGTAATCTCTGTTGGTTAAATGCTCAAGGTAAGCCTTAGCCAATATACTATTAGTGGTGGTAAACTATTGTAACTTATTCATCCCACAACGCTTTTAATTTGTTGTAATAGATGGCTACGGACTAGTACCTTGTGTGAGATTAACAATCTCTTCGATGGATTCCAAGATTCTTGTACCACTCACTTTATGATATTGCTCTTGTAGATCCTGCCAAACTTGATACGCATTAGTGGAATTCCGATGCCATTGAATATCTCTTTGATACTGCATTAAAGATCCACGCCAAGACTAGTGATTGCATCGTTCCCTTGTGCTCCTAACTCAAATCGGATGGTTTCTTGCATGTACCATCACAAAACCAAGTTTTCTGTAGCCCTAAGTGAGACTGTCATGGCTCTGCTCTAGATTCTAATTTTCAGTAACTCTGTAAGTTGTTCAGTTACCAAAACAGCCCTCGGAGTATCAGATGAATGAATATACAGTGGACGAGTTGTGTATCTGAGAGATTCATCATTGATTCACTGTTGGAATTCATCATCTGTGGCTGATTGTGCAAATAGTTGTTAAGCTTAAACCAGATCGAGAAATTGATGAGCTAATCAAGATCAATTGTTGACGAAAGGAAGTGAATTCTTAGGAGATCAACCTAAGCTTTGATACCATATAAGATTTTCGTTAGAGAGGAAAGTTGTAGAAAGAGAGATTTTTCTTCATATTATCAATAATGTTGTACAGTACACTTTAAGCAGAAATAAACTCTAACTAACTCAACCAACTCAACTAATTTAGTTAACTATAGTTACATTTAACTAAAGCAACATTAATAAGCTATACTTGATAGTTGAGCTAAGTCTGAGTATACTGAAGTTGCGACTGTATCTTCAATACAATAGATCTTTAAATTTTAAGAGAGATATTTTTTTTCAAGAAAGAAACTTAATAGGAAGATAAAATAAATAAAATGCATAGAAACTTGCAATTTATTATTTGAATTAGGATAGAAATGAATGACTCTCCCTCTCTAAATATGGAGAGTCAAATTCACTCTTTAATTTATATTTAAAGAATAAAAGATGTATTCTTGGACTCTTTTGTTGGGTCATATAAAGAGTCTTTTGGAGATGCTCTGACTCTTTAGATTAGAAGCCAAACTCATTCTTTGTTTTATATTCAAGAAAAAGAGTCTATTATACTCTGTTTTTATGACAAACTTTTTAATAAAGAGTTTGGGTCATAAGAGTTATTTGGAGATGTTTAAGTCTCTTTCTATGCATTGGCTCTCACATCTAGAAAGTCTATTGGTATTTGAATAAAAATTTTGTTTTATTAAGAGCATCTCAATGATGCTCTTTATTTTAAAGAGCATCTCTAATGGTCTCTTATTTTTAAAGAACATCTTCATAAAATAATAGAACGTTACTCTAATATAAACAATTTTTATATGTAAATTGAGAGCCATGCATAGAATAAGTTAATAGAGAGAAAATTATAAATGAATATTTAAACTTTAATTTATTAATTAAAATAGATAGAGAGTGAAATTTGACTCTCTAATATGAAGTCAAACTCACTCTTTAATTAGAGCATCTCAATATACACTTATTTTAAAAGACTATTTCATATAAATAAGAGCATCTTCTATTATTTTTAAATATATAAACACAATTTTCATTCAAATCCAATGGCTCTTAAATTTAATGAAGATGGTTTTTTCAAGAAGAGACTTATATAGAGATAATTAATATAAATACATAGAAACTTGTCGTTTATTAGTTAAAATTAGATAGAGGTGAACTTGACTCTATAGATGTGAAAATGTCAAACTCCACTTTTAATTTATATTTAAAGGATAAAAGTCTGTTGAACTCTTAGTTTTATAGATAGACTCTTTATAATAAAGAGTTTGAGTCATATAAAAGTTTTAAGATGTCTTATATTAAAAAATAAAAACTACTAACTCTTTTTTTATAATAAACTTTTATAATAAAGAGTTTGAGTATATAAAAATTCATTTGAGACGAGACATGCTCATCCTTTTTAAGCTACACTGTATTTATTGCTTGACCGTACGAAATCACAAGGTACCACAAGTAGAAGTAGGCATGTGCGTAACCCAAGCTGAGTATAAAGAACGACTTTTGCTAATTTAGCAAGTGAAACAAAACAAAATTAGATAAGAAGCATGCTTTTTCCTTACTTACCTCTTGAAAACACCATGAACACTTACTAATATTTATCCTTGTATAAACTATTAAATATATTATACAGCCTTCGATAGACCTAATAGGTGTCAAATTTTCGTTTTACTTTTGTGATTTACCTACCGCCAGTAGTCCTCCTACTAGCCCCTTTGACCTATGTTTGTGCTCGTAGAAGATGCAGGGTGAGAAGACTCCTAGAACTGGAGGCATTGGCGTGAAAAGACCAGGCCCAAGCCTACGAGTTTTCAAGATCACGGTACTGTTGTAAATCAACCAAAAACAAAGTTAATAACATGAAGAAATTCTCCATAGAACACAAGGTTGACAAAAAGAATTTCTAACCGTGTTTGAATGAGTTGATGCTAAATTAGAAAACCAAGGTTGGTTTGGTTAGTACATTCCCCAATTGGTTAGTAGTTAGGAACGTTTCGGGTGGTTTGTTCGGTGGCACACCCACCTCACCTACTTTCACTGTTTTTTTTATTCAGTTAAATTTCTTCATCAACGGCTGTCGTTTGTTGATTCTTCTCTGCGGCACTGTGGGTCCTTCAAGTGTCACTTCAGTTTCCCAGTACAGTCTCTACCAATATGCCTCATATACTTTCGTAAATGACCACAACGTCCCTGCTACATGTCCAAAAACGGTATTAAACTAGCAAAGATATTTCGAAGTGCAGCGCGATTGGCGAATCCAATAGGTACACCCACCTATTCAACGAATCGCATTGGAGGCAATTATTCTCTGCAACAGAGATCATATTACTGTTACTTAAGATACCTTATCTTTAAAAAAATATTTTGATTAGATTGGAATATTACATCTATCATCATTTAAAAATAATTAATCAGTTAAGGGCACTGGTATGTCCAATGTATTTAGACCGTTCAAAAAATTGTTAGATCTTTATATTTTAACCGACGATTGTACCCTAGTGACGTAAGATCAAATCTTGACCGCACAATGACTAGGCAATGTAAGTACGAAAATGCCTACTCTAAATCTCAGCCATGTGATAGTTATCGAGGCAAAGCAAAACTACATAATGCTAAAGAAAGAAAAAGATTGGTCTAAAGACTCTAAATGGAAATATAAAATATTAAATAAAAAATAAAAAATAAAAATTAATATCAGTTCTAAGTAGTGGTAGGTCTGCTCATTTCATAATAACTCTTTTTCGGCGATCGGATCGTTGCTATTTCGTCTTTAGCCGTTTCAAAAACAAACGAGGTGCGTCTGCGTTCAAATCTCTTCGTTAGATTTCATTTTTCTTGCTTTCTTTTGAGCTCGATTTTATTGCTTATACCTAACACCAGTCATTCGTTTGATTTGCGTATAATTAATTTCTTAATAATATTTTGTTCTAACAATTTTTAATTTAGGTGTTGTTGTTAATTGGAGCAGCTTTTAAAGGAAAGAGATAACATGTTGGGAATTTTAGGCAGAAAGACTGCTGGTCTTTCTCCGGCTATGGTACGCCTTTTTCAGATTTTTTTTTTTTTTTTCATTTTGTGTTATTTTATAGGCTTTAATGTTTTTATTTTTTATTTCATTTTTCTTTATCAGAGAATACGTCCGGGCGTCGGCGTTGAGATTTATTCGTCTGCAGCTAAGAGGTATTGTGCCTCTACCTTATAGTTTTTTGCATTTTGTTTTGAATTTGGCATTAGGATGATAGTTTGTTTTATGTTATATATAGTTACATTGAGTTTATGTCTCTTTTTGTCATATTGGTTATGGAATTTTGTTAGAGGACAGTGTTTTTTTATTGGGTTTAACTATCTGGATTTGAGAAGTTACATGTTTATTTTTGTAATTCTTTGTATATTTCCTTTTCTTTTGTGTTAAAAAGTGTTAGTCGTTTTGGGAGATGTTATGGAGAATCATCTTTTGTTTTAGTCTTTTCTGCTTAGGCATGCTGTTTTACCTCCTAAAATAACTGAATTATTGATTTTGTGGAGGCAGATCAATGTTAGAGAGGCTTGACCTCTGCACTTGATGAGAGATGTCTGCGGATCCTAAAGTTTTCTTGATGGGTGAAGAGGTGAGGAGAAATGATCAGGAATTATGTTTTGTATAAAGTTTTTTTTTTTTATTATGTTATAATTTCATTTATGCCTTTTGAGTGCAGGTTGGGGAATATCAGGGTGCTTACAGTTTAGACTTTCTTCTTGAGCAGATAATCTTTATTCTCTGTGTTTTTTCAAGGCCAGCAATGTATCTACTTCTTCTGCTTATCATTTACTTTTTGTTTTGTACAGATATCCAAGGGCTTTTGGACAGTATGGTCCTGAGAGGGTCCTGATACCCCAATCACCGAGTTATTGCTTTTATTTGACTTGATTACGTTGTTGTTACTAAATATTGAGGAATAGTGATGATTATCTCCCTCTCGTTGTAGTTTACTGCTAAAGCTTATATCAATCGTTAATAATAATGTAATATGGAATTTAATTGTTTCAGTTCTTGGTGACATTTGTATGCGCATTTTAATTTTTGTTACATCGCTTACAGGCTGGTTTCACTGGATTGGAGTTGGGCTGCTTACTATGGTCTCAAGCCTGTTTGGGAGTTTATGACGTTTAACTTCGCCATGCAGGTCAGTGGGTTCATGTTAGATTGCCTATAGTTTATTAACTGCTAGTCTATTCTCACAAAGTGCTAGAATCATATATGCTTAGTTAAAGCTTTTATTTGGAAACGAATATTGGGTCGTTTTGGTTTATTATTTCATACCCTATCTCCCAATCCTATTCTCAAAAAACTTTTGTTTAATTATTTTAGGAAATACTATTATATTTTGTTTATTACTTTTAGACCCTTAAGTTTATTATTTAATTAACACCCCCCCCGAAAAAAGTTTAAAAATAACAAAAACACCCCCCACCCACCATAGTTGCTAGATTCCGGCAACCACCGTCGTGGTAGCGAATCTGCACAAGGCCACAAACGACCGAAACTGCTGTAATTCGCCGATCTGGCCTTTTCGGCCAAATCCAAGTGGATCTGGCTTTTGCGGGTCGACGACCGATCCAAAAGGTCAATCGACGCACGACCGCCAGATCACCGTTTCTGCGTCGTAACACCAGATTCGCCCAATTCCGTGTGGTGGTCGGAATCTGACACTGTTGGTGGTTGGGGGTGTTTTTGTATTTTACAAATTTTTTATATTGGGGTGTTTAGTTAAATTGCAAACCTAGGGGTTTTTTTTGTTATTTTTAAATTTTACCTCGTAATAATACTCTATTAACTACTCAATATTATTTCCAAAATCCTATCCAAAATACAAACCAAACGGACCCTATTGATGTTCGAATGATTGAAGGATATTTGTGTTTCGCGATCTTATCATCGTAATTGAATTTTAGTAATAAAATCCTTGTACACTATGGGTGATTGAGGCATGGGCATAGCATTTATAATTCCACTTCTATGTTGTGTCAATCTTTTACATTGGCAGTGATGGATTTTAATGCCTGCTTAACAGATTTTCACTGTTTACGTTTGAGTATTTCCTAATTATATTTCTTTTGATGAATATCTCTTGTTGATAGCTGTTATTTGATTCTATTACGGGCGATTGACCACATCATAAATTCTGCTGCAAAATCAATTATACATGTCTGCTGGCCAGATAAATGTTCCCATTGTTTTCAGAGGGCCTAATGTGCTGCTGCTGGAGTTGGTGCTCAACACTCTCATGTATGGATCCCCAAATATTCTTTTTATCCTATCACCTTATTAGTTATCTTTTCCTTCCAAATCTAAATTGTGTCTATTTATATCCTGTATGAGACCCTGTGTTCACCCTTAATTGCTTATGATTTTTCTAATACCATTTGGTTTTCGAGTTAATGGGGGCCAGTATCAATAATGCTCTTTTTGGCTTCCTCTACGGTTATGCAGCTTGGTAGCCTCTTGCCCTGGTTGAAAGTACTGTCTCCGTATAGTTCAGAAGATGCCCGTGGACTGCTAAAAGCCGCTATAAGGGATCCCGATCCTGTGTTTTCTTTCCTCGAAAATGAGTTGCTGTAAGTAGTTGCTCAGTATTCGATTATAATGATAATTAGGAATCTTCATTTTTCTTTTACCAAAGATTTTGTGAACTGGAAATTTTGTGCTTCAGATTGCGAGTCATTCCCTGTTCGGTTCCGCTGAACTTAAATATGCATTATTTCATTTATATTAAACACATATGAACATAATATACATTTCATAAACATATACAAATAGTACAATATATATATAAACATTAAGGAGAAGAATTAAGAGAAAATAGCATTACTGCCAAAAAACTACATATCAGCTCAAATTAAACTTTCTATAAAATACTGTCATGAATAAATTGATAACAAAATGTAAGGGTTAATATGATAACATAATAATACTGCCAAAAAAAACAGAAGGGATTCGCTTGCAGAAGTTCGTAGGGGTTATCATATAAAAGGGCAAAATGATCAAATCACATTAGACCTAACAAGCCTAAATAACACACTAGACAACGCACAAAGGTAGACCTAAAACAATGCCCATTGCAAGCCCGAAGGATGGTGGATCCAACCTGGATCCAGAAATGGGCCTATGAAGCCTAGAATAGGTTCAATGACGTAGGATCTTGGAAAGTGGACACGTAGGCATCGTTTGCGCAGCCTAGCTAATAAAATAAGATGAGTAATGTTACCGTTACCAAAAATAGCATATTGAATTCATTCATCTAATGATGTTATATAATCTTGATCGTTGATTAATTATAATTTAATATTAATCGACGTTCAGTATTTTGTCACGTTATTTGTTGCATTAATTCTGTGTGCTATTTTTTGTAACTGTATTATTTTCCAAATAAGTTTAGCAAATAAGGGTTAGCCATTTAGCCCAAAGAATGGCTTAACAGCTAAGCCATGAGGAAGATTGATTGCCAAAAGGCCATTGCATATATGGTTTACAATTGGGACATTATAAGATTTTTTTATATGACCTAAACTCTTTATTATAAAAAGTTTATCCATAAAAATAAGACTTTAACAAACTCTTTATTCTTTAAATATAAGTTAAAGAGTGAGTTTGACTTTTCACATTTAAAGTTAAATTTCACTCTCAATTCTAATTTTAATTAATAAATTACAAATTTCAATATATTTTATTTATTAATAATAAAATACACAGAAACTTGTAATTTATTAAATAAAATTAGGATAGAGGATGAGATTTGAGAACATCTCCAATGATGCTCTTTATTTAAAAGAACATCATTCATATAAATAAAGAGTATCTTCATTAATTTTTAAATAGAGTAGTGCTATTTGGATCAATTGATCCAGATCAAAAACTTTTTTGGGAAGGTAAATTTACAAATTTATCCTCTAGTAAAATAAAATTATTTTTGGCTCCTAAACCTTGCTTTTTGGAGGGAAAACAATTTAAGGATGAAAGAAAAATAATTATTATTTCAATATTTCCAAGAATAGAGATTGGAAAGTATAAATTAACTTATAGTAATAATTAATATATTAGAGAGTTGAAAAGTATGAATTAATTTATTGTAATAATTAAATTGCTTTAAAAAAACAAAAAAACAAAACATGTAAAGGTACCCGTTTTGCAAAGTGTAACCCCCTTTGCAAGTACAAACTTTTTTCTTGTGTCATACCTTTATCACCCAGAGTTGGAAGTTTAATCCTTATTACAAGTGTAAGAACCTTTTGCAGCACATTTTCATACAAAGGTACAAAGTGTGTTGAGTTAGCTTGGATGTGTAGCCAAGTATAGTAGTTCTGTTATTGATTAAAAGTGTTCATTTGAGATGCATTGTTTTGTCAATTATAATTAAATTTATAATTGTTGGCATAAGTCAAATTTAACATTAATTTTTGTTTTATCTATATCACCCTTTTAAGTTCCGAGTCAGGACTTAGGACACTAAAAGCATATAATATTTTATTCTAAATTCTAAGTACTGGCAATTGAAATGACAGTTAAATTAAAGTAAAAAATTTGATTATATAAACATTAACTTCTGAATTTAGTTTATAAACTTGACCGCATTAACTTTAAGTCTGTACAATGAAATCATATAATATATTGTTCTAAATTTCAAGTCCGGACAATTAACTTTAAGTGCACACTAAAATCTTATAATGTATTATATTAAATTATATTCCCTACAATTGATTTGAAATGACAATGAGATTGATTTGAAATGACAATTAAATTAAAGTTAATTCTTTTAAAAAAAAATATTAACGAAACCATGGTTGATCACCACGAACTATGCATTAAATAAAATTTAAACTATGCATAAAATGTAGGGAATCAAACTCACTCTCTAATTTATATTTTAAAGATAAAGACTCTGTTAAACTTTTATTTTTATGAATAAATTTTTTATAATAAAGAGTCTATTCATAAAAATAAGAATTCAATATACTCTTTATCTTTAAAATATAAATTAAATAGTGAGTTTCACTTTCACATCTAAAGAATCAAATTTCACTCTCTATACTAATTTTAATTAATAAACTATAAGTTTTTATATATTTTATTTATTATTTTTCTTTCCTATTAAATCTATTTCTTGAAAATAAAGAATATATTTATTAAATTTAAAATATCTATTAAATTTAAATAAAAATTATATTTTTTATATTTAAAAATTAATAAAAATGTTCTCTATTTATAAAAAAGACACTCTTCAAAATAAATACGCTAAATAAGTTGATAACGAAAAGTGTGGTTGACAAGCTACCTGTTGTATAAGTGCCACCTAGGCAAAGTCACAAGGTCGGCATGTGGCGTAACCCAAGCTGAGTATAAAGTAACGACTTTTGGTTAAATTTTGGCCAAGTAGAAAACAAAACACAAAATTAGATAGAAAGCAAGAGGGTTCATTTTATTCATTGATGAGTTCTTATTGCAAGCGAATATTGTTTTGTGTGTGAATCCCATAAATCTACTATAAGCATTTATTTTCATGTTTTTTCCTTATTTAACTCTCTTGAAAACACCAATGAACACTTACTAATAAGTTTATCCTTGTATAAACATATTAAATACATTATACAACCCTTAGATAGACTTAATAGGTGATCAAATTTTTGGTTTTACTTTTTTGTGATTTACCTAGTTGGCAGTAAAAGTGGAAAAGTAACCGTCCGGCCCGACCCAACCCGGCCCATGATGGGTTACTTTGTTCGGCGGGCCAGGCCGAACCCGCCTGCCAACAAAGGCAGGCCAGGTTAGGCCTGCCATTTTCTCCAAAATGATTGGTCCAGCCCGGCCCGCCAGCCCTAACCCGACGGGTTAGGTGGCGGGCTGGGCCGGGTTAGCCCGATTTTCCTATTTTTTTGTTTTTTATTTAACTTTTCAAATAAATAATTATAAATATAATTGTTTTTAATTAACTTTTCAAATATCAATAATTCAATTCAATTTTTTTGTTTGTTAACATTTCAAATATTAATTTAATTTTGATACAATAAAATTATAATATAAGAAAAATTAGACTTATTGGAGTATGGAAATTGGAATTTGGAAAATTGGAAATATGAATTAAAAATTGTAAAAACTAATAAAAATTAAAATATGAGTAAATTGCAAAAACTAATAAATGAATAATTGAGATATTAGAGATTAGAGAATATGAGAGAATGAGAGAATTTGAGTTGTGAGAACTTAGGGCCAATTTATAGGAAAAAATGGGAAAGAGAAATGACGAAAAAGACCATTTTAATGGCTATAAAACGGCTATATTTCAAGGGTAAAAGGGTAATTTGAAAAATAAAATAAAAATTTTTATTTTTTTTTTATTTTTTTCGGCCAACCCGGCGGGTTGGCTGTTGCAACCCGCCGGGTTGGCGGGTTGTAACTGCCAACCCGCCGGGTTGCACACAACCAACCCGTCAGGTTACCGGGTCTCTTGCAAAAGAGACAAAATAGCAACCCGCCAGGTTACGGGTTGCCATTGTTTAACCTGGCCTGTCCGGGGGTTACTGCCGGGTTAAGGTCTACTCGGACCGCCATCTTAACGGTCCAAGTTTAACCCTTATCTTTTCGGGTTAGATTAAGGTTGACCCGCTTAACCCAACCTAAATTTTTCACCTCTAGTTGCCAGTAGTACTCCTATTTGCCCATTTGACCTATGTTTGTGCTCGTAGGGAGGTATCAGGGTGAGACAATTCCCAGGACTAGAGGTACTGAGTGTGAAAAGACAGCGTGAAAAGACCAGAGGCCCAAGCCTATACTATTGACAAATCAACCAAAAAACAAAGTTAAAATAGCATTAACTTTAAGTCTGTACAATGAAATCATATAATATATTATCATACATTTATCACCCAAGTTGAAGTGTAATCCTTATTACAAGTGTAAGAATCGTTTGCAACACATTTTCATACAAAATGTGTTTAGTTAGCTTGGATGTGTAGTCAAGTATACTAGTTTAGTTATTGATTAAAGTGTTTATTCGAGAAGCATTACCTTGTAAATTATAATTAAATTTATAATTGTTGGTATGAGTCAAATTCAACATTAATTTTTGTTTTATCTATATCACCCTTTTAAGTTCGGACACTAAAAGCATATAATATTTCATTTTAAATTCTAAGTATTGGCAATAAAAATGACAGTTAAATTAAAGTAAAAAATTTGATTCTATAAACATTAACTTTTGAATTTAGTGTATAGACTTGACCGCAATAACTTTAAGTCTGTACAGTGAAATCATATAATATATTGTTTTAAATTTCAAGTCTGGACAATTAACTTTAAGTGTACAATAAAATCCTATAATATATTATTTTAAATTATATGCCCTGCAATTAATTTGAAATGACAATTAGATTGATTTGAAATGACAATTAGATTAAAGTTAATTCTTTTAAAAAAAAATATATTAAAGAAACCATGGCTGATCACCACGAACTATGCATCTCAAAGCAACTGCTTTGTCGGTAATTAAAAATAGACTTTATTTGAAATTGAATTTTTATTACAAATATCTTCTTTATAATTAAATTTATAATTGTTGGTATAAGTTT